GGCAAAGATTAAAAAGTAGGATTTCGAGACCATCACTAAATCAGTTATATGAGATGTATTCACCCTACTTCGTTTAAGGAGATGAAGGATGGTAGTTAATTTTTCCCACAACGATATGAATAGAGCTGATGTTTTCAGTAAATTTCGCAGAGCCTTGCTTTCCCAAAATGTATTCTCATCCACGGCGGACTACAGCTTCGACCCTCATACAACCAAGTTACTGGTAGCAAATATAACTTTCTGTAGTAGTGGTTAAAATGTAATAGTTCCACTGCTCTGAGGGAGTTGTTAAGACCTAAACAAAGTCGAAACTGCGGTCCACTCTGAATGGAAACACCGTTTGGGAAAGCAACGTTACGTGAAATTCAGTGGAAGCGTCAGCTCTACTCGTATGATTGTGAGAAAATTCAACCATCAATCCTTGATCGCCTTAGACGAAATAAGGTGAATACATCTCATATAAAGATTGAAAACTTTAGAAATGCCTGAAAGAAGATTATTAATAGAATAAAGAAGCAATGCAAATAGTATGATAGTGAAGGGGGCGATATAAGAAGATGAGATAGGTAGAGGGATGGATTTGACTTGGCTATTTGACGAATCGTAGTTTGGTGCTAAGAATGTCGACTACGATGCCGGTGCAACGTATGAGAATATACCAAATAGACGGTTCGAAGCAGAAAATCATCATGGCTACTTTTGGAGAGGGATTCGTGCAAGATGGGTTGAACTTGGTCGCCATGACAACACGACCACAATTCAAAAACGTTGTCAAACCGCTTCTAAATGACCCATGGTTTGAACCTAATATACAGATGTATGTTTATCGGTGTGCCTGAAAAAAGATTATGAACCAAATGAGACGTCAGATCGAAAAGTAACGGCCAAAACTCCAAGATAAACTTTCTTTAGCTGTTGTTTGACTCGGTTTTCGCAACTTGGTCATATTGTCAGGAACACACCTTGTCCAGAGTACATAGTATGCATGACCGTTTCCACAGTTGGACCGTGGACTTGGTACATTCACAGTCATTTCACCGGCATCGTCAGTGAGCTTAGTCATTCTTAGCACCACAACACAACACGTCAGAGACAAGTGAAATCGATCCGGCGATGCAGGCAGACGTCTGGGATAGTACCAAGTTCACGGTCCAACTCTGGAAATGATGATGCATACTATGGACTCCGGACAAGGTGCATTTCTCTAGGTCTTCCTGACAATATGACCAAGTTGCGAAAGCAAGGTCAAACAATTATTATACAACAAAAGGAGACTGCGACCATAAAAAAGGTCATACTATCTTGGTCTTCATACTTTCGATTAATATTCCTTTAGTTTACAATAGGTCCCATTTTTTAGTCTACCCCACCCACTTTTTAACGCGAAATGAAAGGTTCGACGATACGAAATCACAGATGGATTCTTTGAAATGCAATGCTACTTCTCATTTAGAATTGCATTTTGTGGGTCTGAATCTTTTGACGTGGGTGTGTCTTAGGGCATCATGAATACAATTTCAAATCAAAACTAATTTAGGAAGATTTTCCTTTTAATTATTTGTACAAAATTAGTACCAGGCACAAGTTAAGTGCCCCAAGACCCATCGTATCCCTGTATGGCATACTCATTTAGCAAAAAGTTCCATTTCTAACTAATCCACGTCTCATTAGTGCCCGCAAGGTGTCCCGGAATCATACTGCTCTTGCACCAGTGAATCACCTGACTCAATAAGTGTGTCCATTAAAAAAATTGCAAAACTTAATTAGCCTTAACGATAGTCATCATCCCTACGGATATGTATTGGAAGTCGTTTATCTTGAAAATAATGACATTTCCCGTGACTTACTGACACTCAATTAGTGGAGCCGAGTGACGGAGTAGTGCCGTCACCTGATGCACACGATAGACTCGGATATTTCACGCCGGGAACTCTGTTTTGGTAATATCCATGCATTCGGTTATCGAGAATACGAATGTACAGAACGCAAGTCAGTCTGCTTAACTAATGATGTTACGGTCACAGTCTGGGGAGTTATAGCAAAATTCCGATTCATTAACTCTCAGATTGTTTTTCCAACCCAAATTTTGCCCATAATGCACTTGATTTTCCACCATCAAATGCCAAAGCACATCTACATTAATGTGGCCGACAAGTGCTTAAGCCAAGTATAGCCTAAGTTAATTAACATAACTCAAGCTATTGCATTATAATGAATATAAAATAGAGAATAAAAAGTAATCTTTCGACTCTCACCAATGTGAAGGTTCGTATAATGCGTGGATCACTGGGAAATTGGTTGGTGAGATGAAAGAGAGAAGGGGACAAGATAGCAGGGCAGATGAAACGTAGGAAGACACATGCTGAAATGATGTGATCACCAACTGTTGCCATTGCAGGGTTTGATTCTTGAGTTTCTTTGCCTGTTTCGCCGTTTGCTTGTCTTGGACTTTGGGAAGATAAAGTAAACGCGGAAGTCTGTGAAGTGGCAGCGCTAAATAACGTAGTCACTTCAGCTTGCATATTCGACTGAGTTAATTGTCTCAGATCTGACATGCTAGAATGCTCCGAGTCAAAAATAGGAGCAAAGTCCTTAGTATAATCAGTCTTTTCATCAAAGTCGCTGCGAACCAGGGCAAAGACTTCTCGGATGGAGCTGTATATAAAAATGAAAAGGTAAAACAGAAACACGCTTTGGCCACAATTGATACATTTTATAACCAGTGTATTCATGCGTTAGAAAATAATTGAAATATACCTGTTATTGGATTTTGCACTACTAAGCAGTGGGAAACAAATATGCCTTAAAACCCTAATTATTGCAAAGTGTATAAAAGAAAGGCTGTTCAACTTTATAGTTGTTCATATAAAGGCGCAATTTAAGATAGAAATACTAATTTTTTAAGCTGATAGGAGTTCTAAGGCACTTTTTTTAGTGTGAAAAATAGTGGGTATTTTATTAGTGATCAGCAATATTGTCAAGGATTGAATCATTTAAATTGGAGGCCTAATCCGTCAGAAGGAGCTTTTGGTAATCCAATTGGAGTAGGGGGATACCAAAATACTACCAAAGATAAAAATAAGGATAGAAAAATATAAGCCTACTAGATAGGCAGAATGCCAAAGAATAGTAAAAATGAATAAAGAATTGATAGAGCTATGAAAGTGACTAATTTAAAGATTCAGAAGTAAGTGGTAAACGGTCAAAATAATGACAATTAAATAGAAAATAGAAGAAAATGTAACAAAATTCAGTTTTATTCAAAGCCACAAGAGAAATATGGTCACTATGGACTGGTTAAGTGATCCTAGAACCGATATTTGGTAGTCATAATGAATTGAGAGGCTTAATCATGTGGTCCTATCTTCCAAAAGACTATGGCATCTCGAATGTAAAATACTTTAAAATTCGCATGAGTGGAATCTATATTTATGCAAAGATTAGAAACCGGAAATAGGGTGAACACAACTTATAGTCTTTTCTTGTCTTGGCTCTAATTACGGTAACTGCTCTGTACTTTTAGCCTATGGTTTCCCTCCTACATGATGGCAAAAAAGCTCATCAATATAACCAGACATGTGTACGACCTTGCTCAATCAGAGTGATGGCTTAAATATATACAGATAGATGTTGGTGGTCATCAAACCTTGATGGCAAAGAACAGACGTTACTTTTGCTGTCCTAATTACTTTGAGCAATCATTACTGGTTTCGTAAAAACATGCGAACACATGCAGACACATTCACAGGCCCCGAGGCTGACTGGAACTAACCAAATTCATGTATGCTTCATAAAAGAGCTCGTATATGGAGAATATATACAACATTTTAAGGATGATCAGGATGATACCCTGCTGTGATGATGTTCGTCACACGACGGACGCAAGCTCAGCATGTTTTTACCGGAATCGAAGGAAATTGCCTCGGAAACAGCGTCAACAAGCATGTTCTAGTAAAGCCAATCGACAGCTGATCAAGAGGATTCTGCCATCGAAACTTTTCACCAAACAATTTCACTCGAAATGGAAGTAAACTCAACTTTCAGGGCTAGAAGTAATTCTTACAAGAGTCTCAAGCTAACACTAGGGCAAGACCATTCGACCCTATCCTATATAAACTCAACTAAAAGACAAAAATATACAAATATATACAGATTAATTTGATTGGTTCTCTTTCAAATTAGCCATGACACTTTTACTTGAGTGTGTATGTGTGTGTGCGTGTGTGCCTGTCAACGTCTGCATACAACAGCGGTCTTAGAACAGAGTGATTACAAACTTGAGACTTTTGCACTGATGGACGAAATCTCAGTCCGGTTTCATCCGAACAACGGGAGAACGTTTTGTTGACTGCATCAGCATGAACTCGAAAATAAAATCTTTTAAAGGATTCTTCAAAACCCAGTTTTTCTACATAACATAAACTTTGTCTTAAAGCCACACGGCTGCAAAACAATGAGAATCGGACTCTGTCTTCCGTTGAGCTCGAACAACCATTCTTTTTATCATACAATTTTATAGGAAATGAAATTCTCCATAGTAATGTGATCTTAAGAGATTCAACGAACATCAACTACTCTTCCTATGGTAAATAGATAAGTTTGAAGAAAAATGTAAAATGAAAAAAATTTAAAGTCAAACATATAGTTAGTAGATACGAAGAGTAACTGGGTTTCGATGACCTTCACTTCGTATGCAAGCGCACGGAGAAGAGATTGGTAGTCCACGAGACATCATCAAGCTCTGATGATGTCCATCAATTGATGGACAAAAGCTTAGCCCGTTTTCACCCAAAGTGAGGGAAGATGTCACGTGGACTGTGTACACCTGAACGTCGTAGTAAAGCCAAACGGCTGCAGTACAACGCGATTCACCCGTCCTCTTCTGGTTAGATCGACCTACGAATCTCTTCTCCATGCACTTTCATACGAAATGAAGGTCTACCCGACAATGCAGATAGTACACACAAAGACCAAGAGGGTGCGGCCTTTGGTTTGGTCGCAGTATAGAATTGGCTCATCTCGTTTTCGCAACTCAGCTCCGTTTTGAATAAACATTCAAAAAACCTATCTCAGTGGCTAACTGTCAATTTGTTGGCATCGTCAATAAGCGATGCCAAGCATAGACCGAACAACAACTCGTCAGAGACAAATAAAGCTTAAATTCATGAATTACTACTCATGAGTATGGGGTATGCCGTTCTAAGGTTAAAAAACGAAATTAATGGCCTATGAACAAAAATGAATATAGATCCATTTAATAATATTTTAATTTCTAATCATACATATATGTATGTATATAAAGCACCCCTTCAGGTCGTGCATCGTTTGCGAATTCCAAGCACAGTTCCTATTTTAGAGTTATTATAAGGCTTTTTTATATAAACCCATAACAAGGCATCTATGCTCAGTTAAGTTTCCCCACACTTTGTATAATAAACTATAATGACGTACGAAGCAGAGCATTTAAGATTGAGTAAATTCCAAAAGAGAGCCAATCCTATGGTTTGTATATAATGAATTTATCATGGCTTAAGACGAGTTTATGAAAGTTTAAAAGTGTAGTGATTGGCCACCAGGCTTCTTCTTAAGGCAATGAAAAAAATTAATTTAGACAACTTTGAAAAGACATTAATAAAAAACACAACTCCACGACCTAGAGGAATTCGGGTCGAACACTTCCATATAATGCCCATTTAGCAAAATGTAGACTTTGTAGCAAGCATTTGGTCATGGCAACCAAGAAAAGTGAGAGCAAGTATAATCTGATTATAAGTAATAACTTTTGTTTGATAATATTTAGTTACGGCTGTCTACTTTAAAAAGGTCTTACA